AACATTTACCATAAATTAAAGGTATCTTATATTATTAGATATATTATTATAAAATATGTTTTAGTTAAGGAGTTATTGATACTTCAAGTGCAAAATAATAACATAAAACCTTGATAAAAAAAATATACTTTTAAGTATTAATCAATAGATTGAAAAATAAGTTTTTGAACCAAAAAAACCAAAGCCTTATTTTTCTAGTGATAAAAAAAAAACAAACAATACATCATTTATTTTCTTTTAAAAAAATAGAAAAGGAACGAATGATTTGAAAAATTAAAATAATAAAGATAGACCCAAACAAATGGGCTGGACTGTAAAGCCCTCATACCTAAGTTATTTTTTAAAATGAACCAGCTCATAAGCCTCAGCTCCTTTTGGGGTTTTTGTTTTTGTTTTTTTGCTATTTATATTTGGGTTACAAGGATTGATAAAAAAAAATTTGTTGAATTCAATTGAATTCATAAATCAAGTCGGTTTAACATGTTAATTTACAGTATTCAAACTATTATTTTTATTTTTTATTTTAATGTTTTTACTACTCCTCAATTCTTTTTTTTTAAATGATATAATTTTATCATTTATTATCAATTATGTACTTTTACTATCTTAGCATCATGTTTTTATCATGGTTTTTTTACTTCTAAAATAAATATTTGGTACAAAAAAATTATCAAGTCATTTATTTTTATATAATTAAATAATATGTAAGATAAAAAAATAATTAAATCAAATAACATGCTTAACTTTTGTCAAGTTTATTTTATTGACTCGAATTCATCCGGTTGTTTTTTATTAAATAAATATTATTATTTTATTATTAATTTTATTTTTTATCATTAAATTAATTTAAAATTAAAATAATTTTAAACTTTTCAATTTATTTTTTCTCTTCATCATTAAATTAATTTAAAATTAAATTAATTTTAAACTTTTCAATTTATTTTTTCCAAGAACACCCCGTAAATTTAACTTGTAACTGGTCAACCCATATTAACCTAAACAGTACAAATGATTTTGATTTCATAGTTAAAACCTATTTCTTTTTTGAAGACACATCACCAATAACTGAATATTTCTTTTGCTCTTTAAATTTTTTTACTTCAACCTATAAGGTGAGTCAATAACGCAGTCCAACCCTACAACATAGCGAGGGTGGTGGAGCTAGTGATTTCTTACAAAAACAAAAAGATCTTTCAACGTTTGGATACAGTATGAAAAATGAGTTAAGATAATAATATATCGAGTTATGAACCTTCAAAAATAATAGAAATTTTGAATTAGCAAAGCTTGATAACTATCTCAATGCTTACCTGGCTTTTGTTTTTTCTTTTCTTTTTTAGCGACTTTCATCCAATAGAAACCAAATTAGGCAAAAAAAGAAAGAACAAAAAAACAGGTGCAGTTTCATGCCCCACTAGTCTTGGCTTCAGATTTCTAAGAGGACGAGGAAGACGACTAAGCCAAGATAAATCTTGGCTTCAGATTTCTCCATTTGTCTGACTTAACACGATACCTAGCTGTCTCCACTAGGTCTGCCACCAAAATTCTGCCTGGTAAAAAAAAACAAAATAAAATTGAGAAACAAACAGAAAACTATCTAATGACAGCTTTTGATGTTAATATGAAGGAGAAAAGAAACACCGCATTAATCATTCCCACGAGAAAGCAAACATCACCAGAATTATCTCTGGAATAGAATGGGTGGTGATTGCTTGCAGTCTAACGACAAAGATATTGGCAACCATCCGAACTTGGTGGCTTTGTGTAAGTTTAAAAATGTTTTTTGATTTACAAATATATTAAAATAATATTTTTAACCAAACTGAAAACAAACCGATATAAAAATACTAAAAATAATTTAATTTGAAGTAAAAAAATAAAAATATTTTATTATTTTTTAAATGAAAGTGTTAGAGAAAAGCCAACTGACAGAATTAGGCGTGAATTATGATAGAAAAATTATAAACAAACTACAAAATAACATTGAATAAAAAAATGTATATATGATCATTCTACATCTTGCAGCAAATAATGCTATTACAAATCCAAAGTTGGCAACATAATTTGTGGAAATAGGAACAGAAAAATTCAATCGCGAGATCACTTATTAAAATGGAATTACACATGCATTCTTTTTCCATCAGCTTATCAAAAAGAAAAAGGGAGAGGGAGAGGGAGGAGGAAGGGGGAGAGGGAGAATCTCAGACGAATTGATCCAGAAGAAATACACTACAATTACAATTTTTTTCCCAACAAATGAAGGATACATACCTACAAATTTCATTGAAGATGGTAATCCAATGAATTGGAAACAAGCGTTGTTGACTCTAAAATGACATGCTGAACTGCCAAAAATGGCACAAAATCAAGAGCATGATGACATAAGGATTGGTCACATAAGTTCTATATATTCAACATATAAAAGCATGGCTTCCGTTCAATTTAAGATTAATAAGAAATAAAAAATTTCACCTTTTCCCCCTTCTTTCCCTTTCCACAACGTAAATTCCAAAACTCATGGGTAAGGATCACAAGCCAACTTTCAAAGAATATGCACTGCTAGAGTTAACCTAACTATTTAACAGATGGATTAGAAACAAAGAGGAAATTGCAGTCTTTGGATCATTTGTGATTCCTACAAAACCATTGAGGATGTCCTAACATCAAGTCGCAAGAAGAAAACATTTATTTTCTTTGCCCCCCACCCCCATATCACACATAAAGGTAAAGCCCGTGTATAAGATTCCATACTAGAATTTGAAAATATATTGGACATCCCAGAAATAGCCCAGCGCACCCATTTAACAAAAGTTAAGATATTCACACCAAAAGTCACTAGGCAAGTTATGGTGAAGAAAATTTCGCTGTATGGACACTAAAAACATTCTTTTGCTTGATGTACTTTGAGGAACTCCTTTTTTTATCATCCACAGACCTAAAACTCATCTTTTGCTTGTAATTAAATGTCACCCAAAAAAAAATACTTTGAGGAAAGTACCTTTTTCTAAAGCCTCTTCACAATTTCTTCATTTACACGGTCATAGTAAGTCATTCTCCGGATGCAATTTTTAGCTTCTTCAAATTTATGGCCTCGCAATGCACTTGCAAAGTAATCAGACCAGTTTTGTAATTTCTCTTGCACCTGCATAAACAATTTGAAATTGTAAATATAATGAAAACAAGATATAGACATACTTTGGAAAATCACAGAAAAATGAAGCCAGTCAGCCTGTGTCTCAGCGTATGAGGCTCAATATAGCAATCTAAAAGAACTATTTTGAATTTACAACGAAACTCGTTACCATGTTCCAAATTCTCATAACATTTTCCAAAGAAGTCATACCAAAGACTGGATCTCCTTTAAAGCCTGATAGTCAGGTGCCTCTTCAACTGCTTCCCTGATTTCCATAATCTGCAGTGTCAGAAATTAGAGTAATAAAAGATCCAAGTTCAAAAACATAGATCATCTGCTTAGGAGCTTGCATGCAGTAATCTAACCAAGAAATCTATGCCAGGAATGAAATACAGAACAAAAACAAGAAGCTCTTATAAATTACCTCAGCTAGCAGCTCCGGTTCTGAGACTGTTTCTTCTTCATTAACATTTACACCTTCAAGTTTCAGCTGTTAGAAAGAAAGTATATAATTTTATGAATGTTTAGGAACAGGAGAATTTATATAATAAAATATATGAGGGAGGAACAGGCATTCATGGATTGCGTAATGAAGAAATATTACCCTGAAATACTTAGAATCACATTGTCCAAAAACTTGATGACACCAAACTATTAACAAATTTTAAACATGTCCATATTATTTTTCTTGTGTGTTAGCATGATTGTCAATCATATGCATCCTCTGGCTCCATGTCTTCTGTTATCCATCAACTATTTTACACCAAAACAGCCAAAAAGATCTAAACACATCTAATTAACAACGCCCTTGATTTTTCTTATGATATTCAATTGATCAAATGCACCCTGAAATACTGTATCATAAACTCTACAAAAAGTTATAACTCCAAGCATAATAATTTAAGCACTCCAAGTGGTACAAATAAGGACTTATCAAAAAGGTTCTTAAATATTCAACTGGCATAAATCAATGAGAAAATCGGCATTCTTAGTTGAAACCCGGAAACCCCTTATACTGTTATTACCAAAAAGGCCATAAATGCCGGTAAAATAGCACAAATAAAAATGCTTCAATTCATGCCGGGATGATATCTAAATGCTTACAATGTATATTGCCCTTGACAAGGCATTGTTCAGCGTCCGGTAAGCATCAATCACCCTAGCTGATTGTTCTGCAGCAAACTCTCTCTCTTTCTGAAAAAGCAAAAACAAATCAACAATTGAAACCCAAATCAAAAAAATACAAAAGAAAAAAAGAGTACGTTCTATTTGAAAAAAAATAAAAAAAATTTAACAGACTAACCTCAGGTTTTGAATGGACTAAATCAGGATGCAATTTTTTCTGCCAATTTTTATACTTCACCTCCAAATTATGATCCTCCTCCATTTCATACTTGTTTTCCCTGTAATATTAAAACCCCCACTCAAAAGAATAAAACCTTGCCAATAAAATACAAAATTAACTTTAAAAGCAGGAAAAAAAAATTAACATGGTGTACTTTACAGGCCAAATATTTGGAAGTAATCAACAGAGTGATCAACAGGCTGGATAGTTGTACAAGACTCGCAGACCAAAAACGGTGCGTTTTGAGGCTCGGCATTACAGTTCCAGCATCTGAGGTTGGTTTTCTCGGAAGATTGGGCGGAGCAGAAACTTTTCCCAGAAAAAAAGAGAAAGCGGGAGGAAAACCCACTTGAAGATGAAGTCTGGATTTTGTTGTTGTTGTAGGAAAAGAAAGGAAAGGAAGAGTGACGTTGTGAATTGGAGAGATGCTGTTGTTGGTTCTGTAAGAAGCCACATGTCGTTGAAGAGATGGTTCTGGTCGGGAGGAGGCGTTTGGAGAAAGGACTCCATAGCTTCTTCTTTGCTCTCAACATTTTCTTTGTTTTGTTTTGTGATTTTATTGAATGGGTGAAGCAAGTCTAGAAACGGTTAAGAAAGTATCTAGTATTTAAAAATATATTAAAATAATATTTTTATATATTTTTAAATTATTTTTTATATAGCACATTAAAATATCCAAAATTATAAATAAATATTTTTTAAAATTTAAATAGAATTTCAACTGAGTATCAAACAAAAGCTAATCAATTAACAACATACATAATAAATAAATAAAAAATATTACCACTATGCACACAATTCCTTTTCGCTTTTTTTAAAAACCTAATATACCTGGTGTCGGAGATATTTTAAATTTTTTATACATCCCATTAATTATTAAAAAAATAATTAGAAGTATAGGTATCATTTTAATTTTTAACACAAAAAATAACTTACTTTACTTTTCAAGTTAGAATATTTAAAATTAACTTGAAAAGAGTATTTTTTATCTTTTTATTTTTTAAAATATAGTAAAATAAAAAAATAAAAAAATTAAACCACATATATGTGTGCATTTTGTAATCACAAATTTAGCTTTTTTTTATATTATTAATCTCATCAATGATATTTTAATTTTTCAACACATTTTATACTACGTATGCACAGCTTAATAATATAAAATATTATTTTACCATGTTATTAGAAGAATCATCACCTTTTTTTATTGGATTAGGTGCATTTCAACGGTGACATCATAATTTGTTATCTATTAATTTTTTTTAAAAAAAAAAAATTATAAGATAAATTTTTTTTTTGTTATTATTGTTTTAATTTTTATTCTTATTCTTTTAATTTTTGCTTTTTTTTTAGTTTTTTTATAAAAATTTTACTTGTTTTCAATTTAATCCTTTAATTCCAATTTGTTATATTTTTTATTTGCTAATTTAGCCCTTATTCTTTTGATTTTTATTTTTTTCTTAGCACTTTGTAAGAGTTTTATTAGTTTTTAATTTCATCATTTAATTCAAGTTTATGGTGCTTTATTTTTTTTTCAATTTGGTCCTTATTCGTTTGATTTTTTTCTCTTTATTAAAGTTATTTTTATTTTCAATTTAACCCTTCAATAAAAAATCTAAAGTTGTCCTCTAATTTACTTTTTATTTTGTTTTTTATCCTAATTTTTTTAATTGTTATTTTTTATTTTAGAATTTTTATATATTTGATTTTTTTTCTTGATTTTATCATTCAATGTTTGATTTAATGAGGATTGAGGTTCATAGTTTTTTTTAATGTAAATTACTTCTGTTATAGAACAACTTGACTCACGAGTTTGAATAGTTAATGTAAGTTAATATCTTTTTTTTTGTTTATTTTCTTTTTCAATTTCATAGTTTAACATTTGCTTTTTTCTTTAAAAAATTAACTTTGTGGTTTTTTTTAATTTTTTTTTTATCGAGTTATTCTAATCTCATAATCTGAATCATGAATTTTACGAGTTGGTATACTTTTTATTACTCATGTTATAAGTCTATCATTATATTTTAAGTTGATTTGAGCTTTTTTGTTTTATTTATATTTTATCCAGTTTGATACGGATTTGTTTTTCAAATTATCATGATTTTTTTTTAAATATCAATTTATTATAGTTATTTTTTTATCATTTAATTAAAATAAAATTAATTTATTAAATATAGTTGGGCTATAATCCGAGTTCAACCCAGCATTCTAATTTATAACTTAAATTATGCAACAAAAGGTGATTCTGTTACACCCAATGACAAGATTTTACTCCCTTTACTGCTAACTCGACCATTTTTTCTTTCCCAAACTCCAAATTCTCATCAATTTCTACAAATTACGGGTACAACCTATTCATAAATATTTGCTAAAAACAATAAAGGAAAGAAAAACTCACTATTGATACGTCTTTGACAAATAAGGAACAATTATACATTGGTACATGTATCATCAGTACAAGGTGATACAAATCCACTGTCATAGTATAGCTTTGAATACAACAAATGTATTGAGTTGATCACTAAATCTTCGACCTCTTTGGTTATCTCAATTCTTATCTCACTGTAACATCTACTCGTATCTGGAACCAAAGCAACAGTATCTATAATTTGTTTGCCGAGTAAGTTTCTTCCCTTCAATGAAAACATTTTCATGGATGCCATTTACCTCAAGGCTCATTTGCGTGTGGCCTTGCGTGGTTAGGTCCATAGCAGGTACCTCTGTTGTTTCATCTTTCCCATTTTCAGAAGAACATAAAGCAACATGGTTAGTTTCACTAGGAATTGAAATGTATTGATCTGGTGATGCAGGCGTTATCTTGTTATGGCTTGTTTCCCTTGAACCTGCACGCCTGTAAAACAAAGATCGAACCAGCAATGTCAATATCCTAGAGCAGTTGAAGTAATAATTTATCATTTCCATTAGATTCATTACTATGTTTTGGACAGCAGTACGCAGGCATGAGTACCTGATTTCACGGTTGCTGAAGCTATTCCTAGAAGAACTCCTCCCTACACGTTTTCCTTTATTGGATGCTTCAACAGAGACCTCAGCATTTGAACGGCCTCCACTGTCTTGTAAATGAGTTGGATCATTTTCTGCATCCTTTTCAAGGTTTTTATTTTCTTCATTTGTTTTTCTAGAGAAAGACCTGGTTAGAGAATTACCGTATTCCCGGACCATAGAAATGGCCTTCTCTAGAGTTTCTAAAGCTCTCCCTACATCAGAACTGATACGTATATTCCTTGTACAGTTTCCAGGACTCTTCAGGGAAATATTATTGCTTGAAGGTTGACCTATAACTCTGCAATCCCTCATTAGTCGTCTGCTGTCTTCACTTTCTTCTTCCTCAATCTCAATAAAAGTTTCCCTACCTGTAGTCAGTGCAATGTTTCCCCAACTTTCATTTCCATGGCCATTACAATGAACTCTGTGCTCCATCCCTCGCATTCCATCCTTCAAGTGTCTGCTTTCGGTATTCTTTTCTTCCTTGATATCACGAAAGGATTTATTGTCCATAACTGGTGCATTGTCTGGAAAAGCTTCGCTTGCACCATCATCTCCATGAATATTCAGTTCCATAACTCCCAAGCTTTCATCGTTCAAGTGTCTGCTTTCTTGATTATTTTCTTCCTTGATCTCACCAAAGGATTTGTTTACCACAACTTGTGCATTTTCTGGAGAAGCTTCACTTGCATCATTGTCTCCAAGAATATTCAGTTCAACATCTCCCAAGTTATCTTTTATATCTTCAGGGGAATGTTCTTGCTGTAGAAGGCAAGCATCAGCTTTAGGCTCTTTCCATTCCATGGCCTCATTTGCGTTTTCAGTAGAATAAAGAACCTCGCGTATTCGAGCATACATTGGAGCTTCCAAAGCCTTGCTGTAGTCTTCATCATGGTTAGACGCAGAAGCCACTGCCTGTAATAATTTGCAAAATGGATGTCAGAGAAATATAATGCACAGAAACCACAAAAGTTATAATGCAAGGATGGTTCTTCATTCTTCATGCATGACCCTCCTGACATAGAAACTGGATCTGAAACTTTTGTAGATCCTACTATAACCCTTAATTTTCATGCCCCCCTATCTTTACTCAGGCCAAAAGAGAGAAAATCCCAAGCCCACCTAGTCTATCACCTATTGAACCCAAATCCTCTACCTCTAAAAGTTGTTATGATTATGAATACTGTTCACTGGTTTTGTTAATACCGCAGAGAGCGTATAAAGAGCCAAATGAATTGGATTCACTGTTGCATGCAGCAGGGTATAAAGAAATAGAAAGAAAAATACACAACCTTCTGATAGAGTCTGAAACCATTTCCAACGAGCTGCCTTGTGATGAAGTTCATGAGAGATGGAGGGACAAAATCCAGCTTCAAATCCATATTTGCTATTGTCCTGCAAAATCTAATGGTTTTCAAAAGCTCCACAACAAAGGAACTCATGCAGTGGGAAAGATCAAGCCTCAACTTGTCTACTTATGCAGCAGATGATAGGTAGTGGAGCCGTACACAGGAATGATTACGTTTGCATGAAATTCAACTAGAAATTTTCCTCTTTTGAACCGGAGGACTTGTGCATGCGTCGTATAGCAAAGAAGACTCACAATATAAATCCAACTAACTGAAACTCACCGAAAATAACTTCTTTCTGGGGTCACTTTTTGGATGGCAAAGCCACCCATCATATCAATCCTTACCACATCCTTTGCTTCAGGGATTCCATCTTTCGAAAACCCATGGGTATTTTTATCAATGCCCTCCAAATCCGAGATCTGAAGCAATATAATCCAAGAATTTATCGTCCAATTTAGAATCAGGTATCCAAAAATTGGGTAGAAAAGAAATTGCAACTGATAAAATGATGAATTCAACCACTTCAAGTGAGTACCGTGCTTATGATAACAACAACCAGACCATCTTGGAGGTATTCAAACAAAACATAGTGCACAACAGCCTCCCTAGCCGTCATCGGCCATGTAACCTTCACCCTTTCTTCCAAAATTTGAGGAAGAATCAAAATTTTATGTTGCAGAACTCAAGCAAAAGGAATCAAACAAGTTACTTCAAATAACTAGAGTAAATTATAAACTAGTCCCTCTAGTTTTGATAAATGAACTTAAATAGTCCCTCTTGTTTCAAAAACTAATCATTTAGCCCTTTCCGTGAAAAAAAAATGAATTGTGGAATAAAGAAGTATTGAATTAAGCATGATCAGCACGAATCAAATGACTAAACAATTAGTTTTTGAAACATGGGGGACTAATTAATTCATTTATCAAGACTAGAAGGGCTAATTTATAATTTCCTCCAAATAACTGCTACAGATTGTGGTGGGCAAACCTCACTAGAGATATCTGTTCACTGATCCGGATCTTTTGCAAGCATTCGCAAATGGTGATTTTAAAAGGTGGGAAGCTATGCTGGGGCCACCTGAGAACACGAAGTCACCGGATTAAAGCAAACCTTGCAATATAAATCTTGATTTCAACCATTTAATTTTTAATCACTTTTGTCAGCTGTGCACCGTCCCTCAACTAAAACCGGAGAAATAAGAATAATCACATGAATCTAGAAGGACGTGCAGACACATAAATCCTTGACATAGGGCCAGGCTGCCAGCAAAGATTGTTGTTCACATAAGCCTAAAACTCCTCATCAATGCACTCATTGCTATACGTCATGCAGACCATGCATGTCTGGCAACAATAGTTAATTGGAGTAATAAGGATAAATATGATTGACATGGGTCGATATGTTGAAGGATGAGACAAATATGACAAGAGACAGCCTCTTATTTTGTACTCATGAACAAAAATGTCAAACTTCCAAGGAAAAAATCCTAGTTTATGTGCTTATGTACACATTGTCTTTAAAGAAGTTGGAAGCAGGGCCAAAATGCGAAAGAATTTAAGCACAAAGTCATTTATACAGATCCACCAACCTACACATTCTTGAGGAAATTCTCAGAACCGTCTCAAAAGTATAAAATGCAACTTATGGAAGTTTCAATGATGCATTTATAAAAGTTCACAATCAAAATTAACAGCTTCAACTCTCAAGTGATCTGATTTCCTTAGCATTACTGGATGTAAAATCAGCCTCCATAAGTAATAACTATAATTAGCAGTGTTAAAATGCAAATTTTTCAGCAATTGTGATTTTTTTTCCTAAAATAAAAAGTAAAATGCAGTATTTTTATCAAGTTAAGATACCGCAACAATATTGTCGTTAAAGCTGGACAGAGGAATGAACTGAAGAGAGGTGAATAAATGTTGCTTCACAGAACAGAGTATCTCCGTAGACATTATATGTCACAAAGTGAAGAGAGATGCCAAGATAGAAGCAATCCTTACCATTTCCTGTAGAGTGTCGCCTCCCAAGAGACGCATAAGCCTACAAGATATTATTTGTACTTGTCAAAAGAGTTTTCAATTTGTGCAGCTTCAAGATGTCTCAAATAATTGTCTGCTTTGGGCTAGTCTACGAGGATAAAGCTCAAAATTTATTTACATTTCACCTAAACTTACAAGTATCGACAGTTCCATCAACATAACCTTCGACAAGTAATGAATGAAAGGGAGTACCCTCAGGTCCTGGGCGATACATAACACGGAACTCTTCATGATCCTCTTTTATCTGTCAAGAGAAGTAAGCTTCAGCATATCAGTATTGAGACTATTTTTCTAAACAGACACCAATTATATATATAATTCTGACTATGTGAGAACTAAAGAACGTATGAAAGAAACCTGAGAGGAGCTGAAACATCAAACTTGAACAGATAAAAAAAAATGAAATCAGCTGATTTTCTTGCTTTTTTTTTCTGAAAGAAAACGTTCCTAGGAGTAAACAGAAAGAAAAGAAGCCAGAATGAATAGCTAGCTAAAAGGGCATACTTTCCATCCATCATGTGATGTCTCACTGGTTCTTGACACCTCATTTTCACTTATAGAAGCACTCCTCAACATGTCAAGAAAAGAGGATACATGTTTAGTTCTATTTTCTATTAAATTGTCGCTGCATCCTGCAAATTCAGAATCCGAAATTAGAGCCTTTGACAAATGCAACTGACCATCACAATTAGTAGCTTACAAAAGATAAGAATCTAACAAAATCAACATCCCAGCAGTTTGAAAAGGAGAACAGCAAATTCTGAGAAATACTAGCCTTCGGTTTCATCAAGCGAAGAGTGAACAAGTTGATTCCTGATAAGGGTTTTAAGTGCGTCAAGATTTGTCAGTTCAGGGGATGCCAGTGTCTGGTCCAGCCTCTCTCTGTATTGAGAGATCTTTCCACTCTTTCCCATCTTTGCATCTCCAAGAAAGAAAAAGGAACCCTCTTTAAAATTTACAATTACTTACGAACAGGTATGTGATTATATTATCATCTCCTGAATTCAACATTACAAAAAATGTTTAAACTTTGGTTATAGACTTGTAGCAACCAAATATGCAGGAATGCCAAAGTCTCTAAAAATCATCTGCATAGATAAGCATATTATAATGAAAAATTACATATTTTGGTTCCACAAGTAGTTAACCAAAAGAAATCATAATATTAGCATCTCAAAACATTCCACACAAATAGTGATTAGTACTATTTTGTGCATGGAAATGGTTCCTCACAAATAATTAATCAAGTTAGAAAAGAGAGCCTTTGTCTGGTAGTAATAACTCCTGAATACAATATGCAGATACATTTAATACAAGAGCATCAAAACAGATGCCTCAATAACACAACTATACCAAAACTTAAAAGGACTCCAAAACAACTTGACAGCTCTGAGAACCAAAATATAAACACATCTTAGCAAACAAAGCCAACGACCATCAAAGAAGTACAAACAAATTCATAAAAACTTGTCCAAAACAGAAAGAACGAATAAAATAAAAAGAACCCATACGAAGAAATCGTGAAAACTAACCAAACTTCAAGTAATCACGTGAAAGCTCTCTGAGAACAACCCAATTTTCCTTCAAGAACTCAGAGCACAACCCTGAATAAAAAACAAGAACTGAAAATTCTTTTCTTTTTGTTGGATAAACAAAAGCACAGAATTCACAAAAGCAAAGTGCACATCTCAATATATATATATATATAAAGAACGTGGTGTGAGACAGATGCACCTGATACGGGCGCACCAAGACGGATAAAGAAAAGAATATGAAACCATTTGCGTTAGGACTTGACGAAACCAAGACACGCTGCAGAATCACAGACACCACAAAGAAAAGAGAAATGAGAAAAGTCCCTCTTTTAAAAACTTTTGTGCCTGGCACTCTTTGCCCAAGTCTGGACAAATTTGAGGAGTCAGTGTCGTGGGAGCCACATGTAGGTATTTTCCAGGCTGAGGCAGCCGACTTGAATTGAAAATTAGTCCATTCGACGAAACTCACATTTTTTTCTGAATGTGGTAAGCAAAATGAATTCACCTCGCGATTAGTCTAAAGTTGCGGGTATGTTTTTGCGGTTTTTCATAACTGTTTTTTTAACTGAAAAGGTATTCAGTTTTATTTATATTTTTAACGTATTGATGTTAATCTTTTTTATAAAAAAAACTTATTTTAATATCTTTTTAATTAAAAAATAAATTTACATAAACATTGTAAACTGCACTGTTAAATACACACTTCAAGAGATACAATCAAACTCGAGCATCACAATTTAATTCAAATGGGTTATAGGACACTATTAAAATAATTATGGTTTTATGGTGTTTTATCATATAACTAATGAAGTAGATTAATATATTTATTTAATTGTTTTGATAACAACTTTGTGTTGTTGCTCAGGTAGTTACCTAGAGCTCACATATTTGAGTGATGTTGGCACAATATTTTTTTTCAAACAACTTGTTTTATATATATATATATATATATATATATATGAAAAATAAAAAAAAATAAAAATAAAGTCAAGCACGCAGGCTTGCTACTTAGGACCAAGTATTGGTCTTGGCACTTTTTTTTTTGGTTTTGTGTGTCACTCAAAAACAATTATCACTTCAGTTTTTAATAGTTTTTTATATAGTTTTTAAATACTATTATAAATTTTTATTTAAATTTTAATAATTTATTTTTTAATTATTATGTATCTGATATGAAAATAATAATATTAATAATAAATTGTTCATGAAAACTCAATTCAAATCATTTTTTATTCTTAAAAATTTTAAATAGATTTTGAACATAATTTTATGACATTTATGATTTTTTTTAGCCTTCAATCACACATAAAAAATGAAAATACAATTTTTTTTGTTAACTTGCTTTAACAACCTATAAATATTTTTTTAATCATCGTGTTCACTAAGATAAATAAAAAATATGTTAATAGAAAAAATTATCTTAATAGGAATTTTTTTTTCAAAATGATTGTATTTTTCAAGTTTAATAATAATGTCAAGTGACATTTGCTATATTGTAGGGCTGATTAAATTTTTTTTTAAAAAAAAGTAGAGGTTATGGGGATCTTTTTTGATTAAATTTTTTTTTTTAAAAAAAAAGTAGAGGTTATGGGGATCTTTTTAACATTATCATTTTAAAGTCAGCCTAATAAGTTAAACTTAAAATCTTCTGACTCAATTATTTATTTAGATCGAGTTTCAAATTAAACTTTCTGAAAGTTTTTCTAATATAATCCACTCAACTTAGCATGTCTAAAGTAATCTGGATGACCAGGAAAAAAAAATGGTTTGGCCTTAAATAAAATTTCAATATGATATTTTTTTTAATATTAAAATAACAATATAATGACTCGACCCGAGCTTTATGACTTAATCTATCAAACCTGCTATTTTAGTCAAGACTCCATCAGGTTTAATAACTTTGTGTTTTAAAAGAAATTTTTTAGTTGATTAAATGGCAACAAGATACACACTAGAGAATCAAGCATCATCATATATGAGATGTTTGTTTGAGATTACAATAACCCTAAAAGGCTAATCAAAATTACATGTAACCCAATTTTCAATCAACCAAATTAAAATTGCCAAACACGTTATCCAGGTCATCGAATCCACTAGATTTAATAATTTTTTCTTTTTTAAAACTAATTATTCAATAAGAAAAATAAACGCTTGCAAATTAATTTGAGCACCAACCAAATGTAAAAATATTTGTTTGAGTTTACGATAACCTCATAGAAATTAAACCGAAACAGATTATAAAGACCAATTTAAAATTGACCAAATGTTTTATTTTATTTTATGCCTATTAGTGTTGTAAAAGTATGTTGCCAATATCCATGGAAGGAATAAAAATCTAATAATAAAAGATGAAATTAAAACAAAATTCTACAAGAAAAACAAAAAAAAAAAACATGTTACATTCACGAACCTTAATGGCCCAGGGCGTTTAAACCTTTTAACATATGCCTTAGTGTGTGGCCTTACTAGCCTAGGCCTATGCTTGTGCCTCTTTTTTTTAAGAGTAAATGATATGTTGTTCACTCCTAGTTTTTTTAAGCAATTAACAAATTGCCTACAGTGGTAAGCAACCTCTTTACAAATAGGCCACTTGCCCAAAAAAAAATCATCATTATGGTGACTAAAAAATTAAAAGAAGCCTCTTTACAAATAGGCCACTTGCCCAAAAAAAGATCGTCATTATGGTGACTTGAAAAATTAAAAGGAGTTATGGTCTAAAAATCAATTTGCAACTTATTTAAATAATAAATAAAAATTAATAAACAACCTTAAAATCTTCATAAACTATGTATGAACTTCAAAATACCCTAAACTCAATAAAAAAATAAAAATCAACTGAATTAAAATAAATTAAATGAATTATTAGAAGGAAAAAATAAATATAAATATCCTTTGTTTGCTTTTCTCACCATGTTTAGAAGGAAAAAACCATTGTCATTGAACTTGTCTTAGAAAAAAAAAGTCATTAATATAAATATTCTTATTTTTTATGACTGAAATGTAGTCAAGCAACAACTTTCTCTCTCATTTATTATTTTTCAGTGAGTTTCTTTCTCATTTCTCAAATCAAATAACTAAAAAATAAATAAAATAAATTTTGAATCAAAATAAAAATTATAAAAACTTTGATTTGGCTACACATTTTCTCAATGTTTTACATTATGATTCTTTATCAATTTCGCATATTTACTATATTTTTAAACTTTATCTCATGGATTTAGTATGTAAAAGATTAAATAAAAAAATATTTGAGGATGGGATTTTAAAAAAAAAATGAAAATTAAAAAAAATAAAGACAACTTCACTATTCATATAAGTAGTTAAATAGCTAGAAAAAAACCCAAGTTTTCTTAGTATATTGTATAATTGTCTCAAACTAATTTAGATGAGTGAGTACTTTTAGATAGTTATCTTGATAAATACAATAGAAATATTGTTAAATTGGACTAAAAACTATATTCAAAATAAATAAATAAATACATACATTACACAGACATAAATGCTAGCTATGTATACATGCGTGCATGTATTATTATATGTTGAATAGTAAGTTATATTTGAATAATGAATATTCAAAACTCAATAGCCACGGTACAAATATCTATTGTTTTTTATAAGGTGAATAATTATTAGGATATGAATATAATAAAAATTCAATACATTTACTTGGACTCAACTTGTTTTCACATAAAAATATATTATCTTATTATAATCATAAATTGTGTTTTTTTCTTTTGTCATAAATATTTTACTTTGATCAAGAAAAGAGAAATTATTAGATATGAAAAAAATATATTCCTCTGTTTCACAAAAAAGAGAAAAGGGTAAAATTCCCGTTGTACTGAATAATTCTCCATAAAAAAATATTTTACAAAATCATATTTTATGTGAAATAAATATAGTCAATGATACGGAGGAATTAATATATATTCAATTTATGTTGTATTGTAAAGAAAGAAGTGGATTCTTTTTTTCTTTAACTGAAGAAATCAGTTCAAGTTTATCGTTTTAATAAAATATGTTCATACATTGAATGAATTGGATGAATTTGACAAGTTTTGTAATTTCAAAGTGATCGCTTCATCGGATTTGAATAAGAAAAGGCTAAAAACCGAGTGCTTTGTTTGAAAATACTATAGTATTTTTTTTATTTATTTTTTAATCTAATTTTGATATAGGTAAATGGATAGAAAATAATGGGATATAAAAATAAAATGAAAAATACTTTGTATAAAAGGCAAAGATTCTTAGATCACAAAATATATACTGTAATTTCTGGTAAAAAGCCATTTAATATAATTTGTTATTGTTAGTTAGTTTTAATTTCAATTTAGTTGGCAAAATCACTTAACTTCCATACAAACAATCTCATAAAAATACATTTTATTTATTTTAGTATTTTAAAAACAAATTTTTTTAAATTCAATTTTTTTAATTTTTTTAATGTTAAAAATAAATTTTAAAAAATAAAAAAATATTTAAATAAAAAAAATATTTTTTTAAAAATAACTACTTCACTATTAAATAACATAAAAGACCACAAAAAAAAAGTGTGGTTAGGTGGAATATAAATTGTCGCGATGCCTTAGGTGGTCTTGTAATTCACGAGATAACTTTATAAAAATATGGAGTACATTATAGTTCATGGGAATCTTGAAAAGCACCCACCCACCCCACTGAGCAAAAGCAGGCGATCCTTCACTGCCACCGCAAAAACAGTCGCCAACAGCCAACAGCCTTAATTGCAAAGTTGGTGAGGACATGACAGGTAAGAAAAACCGGAAGATCAGAAGCTTAAGAGAGAATTTTTTTTCTGGAGTTTAGCACCTTAAAAAAATTAGGACGATAACACAAAAAAATATTTTGAAAAAAAGAGTATAATTTAGAGTTACATATGAAATCTCTGACTTATAAATCACATATGTCAATAGCTATCTTGTAAAGTGTTAAATGGTTTGATATAAATTATGATAAAAAAAAGTGTGAGAAAAAAAAATGATTTTTTTTATATTATTGGATTCGCTTTTTTATATTCTTTTTAGTATTAATGGTATTGTTATCAAAGTTCTAATATAATTTTAGAGTTTGTTTTTTATTTTTATTTTTTTATTGTAATTTGTAACAAGTTAGTGGCACAAGCAACTCGTGACTCCCAAATACCATTTACAAGTTGTTAAACTATGATATTTTTTTAAATATTTTCTAGATTGTAATATTAAAAAAAATACTTTGCTAATGTCCTAAAAATTGTAGGCTATTTTTTCTTATTAGAATGGTTTCTTTAAAAAAAAAACCAAATAGCATAATAACATGATTTGAAAAATAATTGGTAAAATATTACAATTTGTACAT